TGTGTTTAAGTCGAAAATTCATTTGCTGTTCCTGAGAAAATTGAAAATATTTCCCCTGACAAACTATGAAACCCACCATACAATAGGCAGATCATGAGTCTACTTGACAATTCAACTATAACATGTAAATTCAAAGCCAGCCAATCAAGAAAAAAAAAAAGAAAAATTGTGAATACAATCACGGCCTGATACTTCAAGAACATTTTAAACTCAAAATGCATACCCAAATTGGGAAAACAAACATCAACCTCAAAAGTCGAAAGAAAGTATGCTGTTTCTGGAGAAGGTAGTAAACACCAAAACGAACAGGAATCCACAAACAAATTGATGCAACGTCATACAACACACCAATTTGAAATGGCTTTTGACCTGCTCATCAGAATTCTGCACGTGCGATGCAAGTGTGAATATACTTTGTCTCTCAACGGTAACGCCTTCTCAAAACTATTTATACTGCTCACAACTATTCGGGTCTGTTCCAAGAACAATTCCCAGATGTAAACACAAGCGGCCTTCCTCGGGGGGAAATTCAGCAACACACGAGAAGAAAATGAACAAAACATCTTTAGATAAAGGAGGTGCGGCCACCCCTTCGACTATGCCTGTCGTACGCAGTATTGAATTTGTCGACCAGCTCGTTCATCGTGCTGTTTAAAAAGTATGTCAGATTCTTCAAGTAACAGCATATATTAGTCTATCAACAACTAAAGCTATAATTTTCTATTATAACTGCCATGAATTCCTTGGAGTGCCTAGTAATACTGGTATTGAACTGAGTGCAAGTAATTACAGCTGGGGAGAAATTATGTTGGCTTCACTGGGACTAACTTAGATCATGCAGGTAAAACCTATGAAGAATCTGAGTATTTTGAAATGTAAGGTGTAAACATAAAAATACATGAAGTCATGAACAAATAGAACTACGTCAACACATTTCTTGCCACTTGAGAACCTTCTCCAAACAGGCATAAGACAGGATGGGGCAGAAGAAAACATTGAGCACACACAATTAGGCTGATCGAAAATGCAGTAAATGGGTGGAATATAAAAATACAGACGCACGTTTGGGCATAAAGGGAAAAAGAAAAAGCACGCAGATGCTCTACGTGGATAACTCAGCTTGTTCCTTCCACCTACACACTAAGAATATCTGTTCTAGAGTTTCTGAACAACCCCCATAGCATTCATAAAAAACCCTTTATCAACAAAGGCAATCTGCAGAAACAGCCATACCTTGAACAGTTGGTGAACATTGCCAGATAAGTTATCAAAAGTGTATCATTGTATTCCTGCAAAGCATAAAAATTGGGATTAAAGAAAGCAGTCCTAAAAAATTAAACGTACTTTAAGCCATTGCAGGAGATGCATAAAAACAACTCAAAAGGAACTGTAATTCAACATGATTTTCTCATAGCAATACAAAATACTAAGAGTACGTTATACATTGATAAAATTTAGCCGGAACAAAACCCTAAACAGTCAAAAAGCACTCACCATCAAGAAATCATCTTGAAATTTGTCAGATTCTATGGCTGGTAATCTTCTCAGGAGACTAGATACTTGCCTCAGCAACGAATTGTCACTCGGAATTTCCCCTATAAATAACAGCAAACATATGCACACACTAATTATACTACAGCTGACACTTCATCCAGAGGGCATCTTCATAATGGAAACAACAAATTGAACCACATTTTGAATCCGCTAATAGATTTTCTGGAGCTCCTCCTCAATGAAGAGAAGACAAATACATTATTCATTTACTTCAATGTTTAGCCCATAAAAGAAAAGATAACAAAAAAATATAAAGATATACCTTTTTGCATGGCAAGAAGATAGTGATGAAGAACCTTGATCCTACCATTCAGCATTTTGATTGCACTATGTATGCCAGTAAGGTGGGCCGCCACTAAAAGTAAAAGATAGTGATTATTCATCAATATTTGATCAACAATGGAAGAAGTAGGAGTTCATGCTGTGAGTGGAGCTTTTATCGCTTGAAAGTTGTCAAAATGCAAAGGCTCACATTGAGTTGCAGCCGAACCACCATCAGATGGCTTAAGATGGGCGACATGATCAACAGATATTCTTTCAGCTTCCACTGTCTACCAATCAAGTAAATGAAACAGATAAATTAAAAATGCCCGTATATTCTGTCCCACCTAAAGTATTATGTTTAAAATTGAGATATATACCTCTATAGTGTAACTTGATCGAACAAATATAAGCTGAGGGATGCCATCAATAACATGCAACTCTGGATAATTATGATTGGTCAACAAAAGCAGCACACAGCAGAGAACGGATTAATTTTGTTAATCAATAACATTATAATAACAACCTTGCATGCACAACTCAAAATTTCCATTAACTTACGGTAAAATTAGTAAAATAAATAAATAAAACAGTAGCAATTCTTCAACTGCCAACCAATAAATAAATACAACACGGTTCGTAACTTCACTACTGAATCAGACAACTGAAATTTGCTAATTGGTCACATCAGCTTAACAACACATCATCTGTGTTGACATGGTAACAAAAGTAAATTCTAAAGACTTTGATATGGCTAGCTTACTAATAATATTTCTATATTGGGCAAAAGTACATCTTGCACAGGGCAGCTGACATGCCCACAAGCTGAACAACAAAATCTGTGCTCGTAGCTTCTTACAACAATATATATTGATATCCAAAGAAACTGCAAGTTCCAGGCAGCTCTGTGCTTGGCATTATCAAATCATAGCATAGTAAGGGTGCCTTTTCAGGAAAAAAAGAAACAAAGAACTAATGCTATAGACTACTATGTAAAACACTACACACGAACAACTTGGTCAAAATTATAGGTAGACTGAAAATCGATATCTTATAATGACGCTTTGACCTATGTTCAGTTCGTGCATAAAATTGCAATGCGACAATCGTCACAATAGGTGAGACCAACGTCATGGCAGCCTTTCAGATAATCTAGAGACAACAGATGAACAAGCACGTACCACTTTCATATATTGTGACAGGCAGATCTTTCTGTGCAGGATTAATTGAAGGATTGAGAAGAACATAAACAGGACTCTCATTGATATCCATCAACTGTCAGAAACCAAAAAAAAAAAAAGAACATATGAAATAACAGGGAATGCATATGGATGAAGGATCTGCTAACACATAACTAAACATTATAATTAACGAAAAGTCTCTGCTAAAAAATTATCAACTATATCAATCATATACGGGTTTATTGTTTAAAACCCGGTTATACTCATGTAATTTCTCATCAATTCTTATTTTGGTGCAAATTGCCAAATCATACATCATTTACTTCTGCAGTAGGCTCATGAAGTTAGTAGGATTAACAAGAAAGGTGGTGCAGCACAAAAATTATAAGTTAGAGCAAATACCAAAATTCAGCACCTAACTCTCTAGAAAACTGACTTCAACTTCACACCATTTTTCTCCATGTCACTCGCATTAGGGTTAGAAAATGCAAGTGATAAACAACACAAACAAGAAAATTCACAATATAACCCTATCAATCATGAATAATACAGAAAAAAAAAAACTAAGAGCTCACTCACAGCTTTGTGAATAATCATATCAGACTCTTGCGCATCGCTCCCCGTTGAGTACCATCCCAGGATGTAAAAATTCGGAAACACCTTCTTATCTGCTCAACACATAAAATAATCAGGATTTTTAATTTCCCCTTAGAAGAAACCTAACAAAATAAAAGTACCCACAAAGCTCTTGCTTCTTCTCGAGAAAAGAGCGGTCGAGCGAGTGGGTAGAGACGTCGTAAAGAAGCTCGAAGCTGTTGAAGATCTCGACGGTGCGGCCGCGCTGGACACCGATGACACATCCGTACACGCGAGGCGGCGGGGGAAGAGAGACTGTCGAAGTATCGCCGCCGCTAGGGGTGACCGAAGTCGGAAGGGACTGGGACTTGACCCGAGTGTAGTGATCAGAGATGTTGACAATGACGAGAGGATGGAGCTTGAACGTTAGGCCGCTGCTTGAAGAAGACGACATGGTTCTGCGAGGTTTCAAGGCTCTTCAGCTGATTTTTTTCTTTTTAAAAAATAAATAAATAAATTTCTGAGTTTTTCGAAGAGGACTCGAGTAAGGAAAACTAGGCCCATCAGACCCAACTGTAGTATAAATCTTTTATTTTATTTTATTTTATTTTTCTCTCGCTTACACTTCAAAATTTTCATTTTTCCTTATTTTTCTATATTCGAAACAAGCAAGTCGAAACCATACATAAGTGTAATATCTTTTGTCCACTGAATAGCTACGGAATCACTAAAAAATTGTATATCCGTAACAAAACCAACACTTTAATCAATATCGTCTCCTCCAAAATTTTTCAATGACACTTGCAATATAGTACAATGTTCATAATTTTACAAGACAATAAATTATAATCTATACATTAATAATTTTTAACTTCTAACATGATATTAAAAACTAAGTATAAAATAATCAATTCTTTACCTATAACATAATAGTTTCTAACTTCTAACACGATACTAATAAATTTTCATTATAATATAATCAATTATAACCTATAACATAATGATTTCTAACTTCTAACATGACAATATATAATTTCTAATCGATAAGATAATAAATTCTAATTTATAACTTAGCTCTAACATAATAAATTCTAATTTTTAACATTATATTAATAAATTATAATTACAAGGTAATCAGTTCTAACCTATAATATAATATTTTATAACTTCTAACATGATAATATCTAATTTATAACACAACTAACTATAATCTAAAATATAAAAATTAAATAACTAATATATCTAATTTCTATTTTTTTTCCAATAAAAACTAATAAAAATAACTAAAACAATAAAAAAAACCGTCCGGTCGGCCAAACCGGACGAACAAGGTGGTGTCCGACCGGTGATTGCGAACAACACAAGTGTCGTCCGACAGGCCTGTTAGAACGCGCATTGTTGTGTCCCGGCCTCAAAAGGCTGGCGTGCATGTCTATGTGGAAAAACCTGTCGGACGGCACTAGTGCTGTCCGCGCTCACCGGTCGGACAACACTGTATCCGCCCGCAAACAAGGGGGCCTGACGGCTGGAAAACGTACCGAGTTGGAAGACATTTTTTTGCCGAAAATCGCCTGGTACAGAGGATTTTACAATTTTATGAAATTCTTGGAAAAATGAAAGGTGCAAAATGGTCTAAGGGGACGATGCATAGTAATAAGGGAGTGGAGAATAGCGATTCACGTCTATAAATCTTATCGTGAAAAATAAAAATGGGTTAATTGTTAAATAAACCTCAACCTTTTTGCGTTTGGCAATTTTATCCCAATCTTTGGGTAATTGCAATATAATCTCGACCTCAATTTACTTATTGCAGTCAAACTTAAACTGGTCGGACCTTCAAAAAATGCCAGCGTGTTAGGCAGATTACATCACGTGGATTTTTCGGCTTGCTGCGTTGATATACATTAAATACGTCAACTTGCTACGTGGATTGCATAAAAACTCATGTAAATGGAACTTGAACACAAAATTGATCCACAAATCCTTAAAATCAATCACTGCAGCCAAATCTGTAAATCGTTTTGCACTTTCCCCACAACAAAAATCGATCCTACGTATGAAATCTTCTCTCTGAAGCGGCGTGGTCATCTCAATTTCATGAGAGTTTGAGTTCCTGCGTATGAGAGTTTCATTTGACGGAGGTTAAGACGTCGACTTCCTTACCGTGGCGGCAAACCTTCTTCGCAGGAAAGCTTCTTTCGGAATTCTGGCTTGCTTGAGATGAAGACAATATTTTCATACAAATCACAGAAAGGTGACAGGTTGTAAAGTAAGGGATTGAAAATTTTGGGAATTAAAAGATTCAAATATGGGAATGTAGGGATTCAAATTATGGGAATTTAGGGATTGAAAATTTTGCAATTGAGGGGTTAATGGTAGTGACATGTTTTTTTCTCCGTATTTAATGTATATCCACGCAACAAGTCGAAAATTCCACGTGATGCATCAGCCGGACACGTCGACGTTTTTGAAGGTCCGACCAGTTTAAGGTTCGACTTGCAATAAGTAAATTGAGGTCGAGATTATATTGCAATTATCCAAAAATTAAGATAAAATTGTCAAATGCTCAAATATTAATGTTTATTATAACAATTAACACAATAAAAATATATTATTATGCCATCACACTTTCCGATAACAGGATCACCTTACAACCCCCTACCCCAATCCAGAACATGTAGACATATGAAGGACTTCATTTATATGTGTCCTTGACTATCCCCAACCTAACAATTCTGTGCTCCCAAACACTATATTTCACCGAGATAAGCTCAATCGCCATCGCAATTCTTTTTAATCGCCGGAAGAACACTGAAATTCTACCAGTATGGCCATGCGGGAGCTGGTGAGCGGTGGCGCCGCCTGCGCGGTGCCGGGTTCCTCTTCTTCTTCTAACCCTCTCGGTGCTCTCGCCAACGCCCTTATTGGCTCATCCTCGAAAACTCAGGTTATCGATCTTATTTTGCCTATTGTATAATTCCCTTCGTGGAGCTTGTCTCAGGTTTAGTTGAGCAATTAAGTTAATAGGCAGTCTGCGCAAGCTTCATTCTTTTATTGTTAGTTGAAAAACATTAAAATTGGGGCAAGAGAGATTTTTTTTTTTTTTTTTTTCCAAGTAACTTTTGATTTTCTTTAAAACTCTTTCTATTTCCATTAGTACCATGTTCATCTTTCCGTCTTTCTTTTCTTTTTGATAGAACTGTTATGTGTTTGTTTTTAAGGTAGGGAAATTTGAAAAGATGCCTCCTTTTCACTTTCTCTACACAAAATGATAACTTTGTGTTGAAATAACAACCTATCTGGGTTGATTTATGTTCGCAACTCGTAATAGACAGCGCTGGCATCTTTGTAAACACCGTGACATTAAGTGGAGTGTTTCCGAATTTCCCATGTATCATGTTGGAACGTCTGAGGTTAATGTTAATGTAACTGTTAAGTTTCTATACCTATGGCACATTTTGGACAATTGGTTTTTAACCCACCGTAGGATGTTGGTATTTTTCTGATGTTTGTTGTCTTCAATTAGGCTAGAGGATTGGTAAGCATGATGGTTTTTATATAACTAGTGCAGCTTGTAGGAGGTAATAACAAATTGGAAGAACTGAAATGGATAGGAGGCTCAATGAATCCAAATTAAAGAAACCTTACCAATGGCCTTCGTGTTGTGTTAGGCTTCTGGCTAATACATCATAGTTACTGTAAAAATGTTACCAATAACCACAGAATTATCCTTAGAGCTTCCCTGTATTCAGAACATTACTGCAACCAGCAACCCTGATTTATGTTTTCTAGCTCACCTGATTTCATTATCTCTGAAGACTTTCTACATTGTGTCATTGCCCTTAGTATTGAATACAAAACGAGGCAGAAATATGAGCTCATTAGATGGGTCACAACCTTATCTGATGAAATACTGCATGAGTTACACACACACTCGCTAAGGTGCTCTATGGTATATAATATTTATTCTTTGATACATCATACAAATAAATTGATGTATCACCAAGCAGGAAAGGCTTCGAGAGATACCTACTGCAACCACTACGATATCAGATGGCAATGTATATTCAGGGGTAGAAGAACCCTTTTCAGCAGCCCTTCCAGGATCGGAGATGGAGCATGCACTACATCCTAATACCCAGGTTGATACTTATTTATCTATTTTTCTATTTGTAGTTGTTTCCAATTTGGATCAATGGGGCGTGCTTGAATATCTATTTATTTCAGGGCTCTGAATTCCTTCAAGGCTTTCGCTCTGCAGATCAAAGTAGGTTTTCTGATGCTTGGGATGAGATTCAGAGAGCTCCACCTGGTCCAACATACTTTCCTTTAGAGAAACCTCGACTTCCGCAAGATTTTGATGGTAACTTTATTTTTTATTTTTCATTTTGATATTGTTTAAAAATTATTGCTTTGCGTCATTCTTGTTCACAGTTATCTCTTTTGTAGATGAACATAATCAATAGTTGAGTGACCACTGTACAACTCATAAAGCCCAAAACAAAAGGAATAGTTTGAATAAATGATACATATAGATTCAATAATCCAATAATATGAATATAATCCATGGTAATATGAAAGGTACATGCAAAATACCACAAGACACGAATCAAAATATTGCTTGGGAATGTGAACTTAATGTGAGTTGGCAAAATACATGATGAACATAGGTGTGAATTTGTGGGAACTGGAAACATATCATCACATCAGTTTGCTTTACAAGAAAAGAGTACTACACAAAACCATATTATTAGTACCGTTGAGGAACAAACTGAATGACCCCAAAAGAC